TGGCGGCCGCTCTGGGCCCGGCTCCGGCCCCGGCCTCGGCCTCGGCCCCGGCCCCGGCCCTGGCCCTTTGCCGCTCGGTGCATTGGTTTCGCCGCGGGCTGCGTCTCCACGACAACCCGGCGCTGCAGGAAGCGTTGCGGGACGCCTCGTCCCTCCGTTGCATCTATATCCTGGACCCCTGGTTCGCCGCCTCCTCCGCCGTGGGCATCAACCGGTGGCGGTGAGTGGGGCTGAGGAGGCGCCGGGCCCTCAAGGCCGCGGGTGGGCCCGCGGGGGTCGGGACGAGCCGGGTGGGGGTAGGAGCGGCGGGCCTGGCCGTGGGGAGGGCTCCCGCGGTAGCCGGAGCGCGTTTAGGTGCGGCGGGTGAGTCGCGTCGGTCAGGCCGCCGCAGCGGCGGGACCGGCACACGCTGCCTCGTTCGGCCCGGTCCACGTATTGCTCCCCCCGGTCCTCTCCGTGCAGGAGGGAGGTTGCCTTGTCCGGTTGGCCTCGCCGTGGTTTTCACAGCGGTGTTGCCTGACTGTGTGGGAGGGTGCCTTCAACTTTATGTAATGTCATTAGACTCTCTCTTTACAAGCTGGGCGAATGTATGAGAGCAGCGGCTGATGGACGTTTAGCTTTAGGAAATGCTTCTCCCTGAATTTAGAGACAAGCGCAAAGAATCGCCAGAGCTGCATGACCGCACCACGCCTTCCCTCTGCCCTTTGGCTGCTGAGTGGGTGTAGGCATGTGTGCGCGCGCCTGCCTTCCTCCCATCCCTCAAATTTTTATGGAAATACACTTTGGCTGCTGCTAGGAAGGTAGAGATGAAGCTGTTTGGGCTTTTCCCCTCTCTCCAAATGGGAGAATGTATGGCATGAGTCATGTCTGTGCAAAAAGCAAGACCTCATGTACCGGTAGCCAGCAACATTACATAATGCTATTGTGTCAAGTCTCAGCTGCCCAAACATTTGGAAACCCAATCCAGGTGGGGGTTCTGCTCTGCGAGACTCCCCTGCGTACAAGTGAAGCAGATCTACCCCTGTCCTCACACTACCCCATCAGGGGCAGTGGACAGGAGAGCCATCTGGCTAAAAATCCTTTAAGTGCTCTTTGAAATGTCATGTGGCTGTGCATTAGGGAAACTGTAGTTGTAACTGATTACCTGTGCTGAACACTTTAGCTTCGTCTTAGAGGAATGGGATAGCGTGGGTGATTTCTAAGCATTTCTAGAACCCATACAAGAAGATGGCTTAAAAATTGTAGATGTGCAGAAATGACCACAATGTAGATGTTCAAATTACAGAAAATTGTAGATTCTGTTACAGCTTAATATCCTAGGAACCTGAAGCGATCTTTCTGTAGACCAGACTTTCTACAGGCAGCAGCAGACAGAAATGCCTTTGACGTGCTGCTGCTGTTGTTGCTAACTGTCCTTACTTGGAAGAACCAAAGCAGTGCCCCCAAAAGATTAATTCCTGATCCATTTAATCCTTGTTTGTTTCCACCAACATTGTGGAGGGAGGGAGGCAAGTAGTGGTTTTATTTATGTTATAGTTATAGAATATACGAGGAGGTGAAGTTTTTAAAAATAATGCTTTCTTGGAGATGTGTGCCTACTGCAGATGTCAGAAATTAGCACCACTGGCTGTTAGGCAAAAATGTATTAGCAAGTTAGTTATAATTACCAGAGTTCCATTGGTTCCCATTGGGAACCTTGGCTTTGTTTTGCTGTTTTTTTTAATGCAATTACTTGTATTCAGAGTTTTGTGCTCTAAAAGCAAATGCTTCTTTTTTACCTAGCTCCCAGAAATTTATCATGTTGGAAATCCCGTATTATTTAACTGCACAGCATGTGTGAGCCATATAGGACTAACCTTTGGGTAACTTTTAGAACACCTTGGAAAGTTGGTATTCCTATTTAATAGATGGAAAGTGAGCTGGGGGTAGGGGAGTGGTTTGTTTAGGTTATCCAGACCTGGTTCTGGATCTTCTGTACTGTGATACTGGGCTCGTCTTTCCATGGACCCCAAGTCCCTTTCTCCCTCAGGAAGCGCAGAGGGAGTTTGTTCTATCGCAAAGCTTGCAGGTCACATTATGGGCAATGCAGTTGAGGAGGGAGGAAGTACCTGCTTTACCAGGCAATTGTAGCTTAGCTTTCCTTAGCTGTGTGTGGTCTTCAAGGAGCTGATGCAGATACTCATGTCTTGCAGGTCACGCTGCAGAGTAGACACATAGGAATGAGGGAGAGGGAGAGGTTGGCAGCCTCACTTACAGAGGGTTGCAAGTTTGCCAGCAGTACCCGTGTGCTGTTGCAGAAATTAAAGTTTTAAAGCTGGTGTCTTTTGCAGAGTTAGACAAGACAAAGTGAAGTTAAAATGTAAATGGAGTGGCATGTGTGGCTGTGAAAGCAAAGATGATACATTTGATGTTATATAGCATAGTGGGGGATCAGTAAGACACGCCATTAAATGCAAAAAGCACTTAAATGCTTTTTTACAGTTCTGGGGTGGGAGGGAATAGATGAGTGTCTTGGCATGCTCTCATCTTTGTGTCTTCACGGTAGAAGATAAATTGCAGTTCTGTTTGCAACGAATCTAAGTACAGATAATTCTTGCCTTGGGAGATCTTGGTGCTCAGTTTCGTGCTACTGATGAGCTAGGAGCGCACATTTCTCTGCTGTGACATTGCCTATTTGTAGCCAGAACTGTAAAACTTGCACAGTTTTTGTAGTAATTAATTGCTTTCCTTGCAGTAGTATATCGACAACTTTCTACTTCATATGCAAAATCCCTCCTGCCCCAGAACCCTTGAAAGAATATACTGTAGGGAATTACATGGTTTATGCTTCTCTCCATGTTATAATATGGAGAGAGCAGCTGGCAGGGGGGTGCTGCCAGCTCTGAGAGAGAACATGGGAATGGGGTTGCAGGAAAAAGAAAATCCTGGAAACCTCTTGCATCTGGACAAGAAGAACACGCATATGAATGGCTGGGAGCTGGCTGGTGCTGCAATCTCACAGCATTTGGTAGACCAGGGATGAATTTGAATTCTTGTTTTCTGTTTCTTGTCCAAACTTTCAGTTTGATTTGGTGATGCAGGTTTGCTGGACTTCCATGCAATTTCTCCTCATTTGTCTTTTAGCTGTAACCAGACTGACTGACACTAACTGCTGTTGTTTCTTCTCTGCAGATTTCTGCTCCAGTCTCTGGAAGATCTGGACAACAGTTTAAGGAAACTCAACTCTCGCTTGTTTGTCGTGCGAGGACAGCCAACAGATGTCTTCCCAAGACTCTTTAAAGTAAGAGAATAATTTTCTGGACCATAGTGGAGAAAAAGCGATGTCCCAGTGCTATCCTTGTTTTCACTCACTAATGATTTGCTAGCTGTTGGAGATCCCCTCGGCTTCTCTTTAATTATAACTAATTCTTCACTATAAACAAACTCTTTAACTACAACTAACTGCTATCCGTAAGGGCCAGCTTGCGAGCCAGATACACTCTTGAACTCAGACTTGCAAAGAAATTTAGTAGTAGGGTGTAACCTAGTACCAGGGTGCTTGAGCTTCTCTTTTTGGATGGTGGTCTTTGCCTTTGTTTCTGTAAGTCACGTCTCACACGGTTGCGCTGTAACATGCTGACTCCTCTGTGTTGACAGCTTCTTCCCTGCTGGCCATTTTCTTCCTGCAGCTTTTATTTGGGAAGACTGCTATGTACATACACCTTTACAGACAACTGAGAAAGCATATGGATATGTATGTGAATTGCAAATAGGGCTTTGTGTTAAAATTTCAAAATTCAGAAGCTTTTATGTTAGTTGACCTTCCTTTTCTTCTTCTGTTCAAGGCTGCAGTTCAGTCAGCTCAGCAGCAGAATACAGCTTGGGTCCAAGCTTCCTGCTGATGTACCATTTAGGATGGTGGAATATGCAGTGACCTCAGTAGTCAATGATGGATTAGTGGGATGCATTTC